GGGTTTCCTTTTTAATGACAATGTTTTGATGATCCACATCTCCTCACTAAGCCACTGGCATCCCTCTTAACTGTAGCGGACTCCGCAATAATCAGTAGACTCCAACATATATGGTCATGGAAGTCACTGCCTCCTCCGGCAGAGACAAGACCAAAACCTATGACCTCTCACCGGGAGGTGTGAATTATTCATGAAAAATGAAACCGTGGGTCACAGTGTTTACACAACTTAGCTCTCATTTCTTTGCTTGTGTTCACACACACTCCAATTCACACAGGCGCACAATGTGTGTATGTGAATGCTAGTGTGTGTGTGTGTGTGTGTGTGTGTGTGTGTGTGTGTGTGAGACGAGGCACATGTATGAGGATTAGAGGATTTCTGGGCATCAATTGGCTCCTTCCACTGGGAGCTCTGGGACCCAAACTCAGATATTCAGGCTTCCGTGGCAGGTGCTTTCTACTTGTTTAGCCACCTCACCAGCTCACTTCCTAATTTCTAAAGGAGAAAGAAACAAAACAAAACACGCTCCCCACACCCACGGGTCCCACTGCTCCTTACACATCCAAGTTCACCTAAGACTGTGAGTGTTCCTTCATCTTTGAGAACATTTTCCCCCAGCTAGGAAATCTTGATTCTATTCTGCATACCGGACATTAGATTCAGTCACTAGGCAGCTTGAACCAAGCATACAAGCAAAATGTCTAAAGTGGCTTAACCACTTCCACAGTGAAAAGAGCCAGAGGGAGGGATCTACCCAGCGTGCTGTCCACAGGGGTAGATGCTGAGGGTTTGTGGGCTTGGCTTCTTTTGGGAGAACAGCATACTCGGGCCTGTGCTTTTTTTGTCCTGGGCTCTCAGGAATGGGCAGGCTATGGGCAGAAAGGAGTGCTTGGTGCTTTGATGGTCTGCGCAAGGGCTGACCACTCAGCTGTGTATTTCTGGATCTGACAGGGGCCTACTCCTCCCACACGGGGCCTTGCAGAACCAAGATACTTTCTTGTGAAGCAAACACAGGCCCTAAAATGGGTCAGGTGATGAATAGTGGGAAATGCTGACCCCTCCTACGTTTGTCTGAATATAAACCCAACAGATGGTATCGAATAGCAGAGATTTTACAAGCTGAGCTGTGAGGGGGTAAGGCGGAACATCACCTGACCTCCGTAGCTCTGGGGTTATGTCTTCAGGCACAGTGAGGAGTAAGTGAGGAGGGGTGGTTTCTTCTCAGAAGCAGCTCCAGCAAAGGCAGTTAAGACACTGTGTGTGACTACGGTTACAGGCAACGATACTGCTTTTCTGATAGGCTATTATTGAGGTAGATTATCTGATACAACACACCTATATCTGGTATGTACAGAAAATGGAATTTTCTAGCTTATCAGATATTTTAGTAAAAGATGGAGGCTGGAGAGATGGTTCAGAGGGTAAAGCCATTGGGTGAAGGCCTGAAGATCTAGGTTCAATCCTTAGATCCTACACCATAGAAGGAGAGAATCTCCTGCAAGTTGTCTTTCGAGCTCCACATCCACATGAGCACACATGCAAACACACACACACACACACACACACACACACACACACACACACATTTTTACGCAGAGACACACACACACACACAGGATTTCATATAATATGCAATACAGTCAAATATATGACATACTACATAATATATGAGAGAACATTTAAAATCATACCCACTACACAGTAACTGGTTTGTCATTATTAGACATAGTTTAATATATTGAGATTCAAAGACATTAATTAAATCAGAAAATAGCTCAATAAATTTGCCTGCTATATTTTTGTTTACATATGTATTCCTAGAGATAAGCAGATATTTCTTTTAAAAAAATCCTGAATGTATCTATATTCTGTCTTTCTCAAACTGCTAGTCTAGGGTTGTGAAGCTTGTGGGTGATTGGGCTGAGGTTATGGTTTACTGACTGACGGTGGTGTGTCTCCTGGGCTTGTGTAAACAGCTCTGAGTGGAGAGGCTGCCTATGGGAGTTCTGGTGTGTCCTTTTTCTCCTTCAAATCTCTTGCACAGGTAATTACAGTTACTATGCAGTTTTCAGTATCTGAAATGACAATTTGAATTAGCCAAAACACTTTCGAAACCCAACTGCATTTTGTGCAGACACAGATGGCTCCTGAAGGGCGAGTGAGTGGGCAAAGTGCTTATCACTCAGCGAACCCTGCCCTCCCAGCTCTACTCCCCACCCTGAGTTTACCTCCTCCCTGATTTCATTCTTTGGGTCTGCCAAACATTCACAAATATCAAAGGCCACCTATCTGTTTGTGAGCTTTTATTGACTTTCATGGGTCACATGGGCCTGGTTCGATTGGCATTTAAAGAACTTGAACAAGATGAAAACCTGTTGTTTCACAGTCATTAACCACCTCTGAGCTTCCTGTTCTTAGGTGCTGAGAGGTCCTGGGCAGACACTTGGTTCTTTGAAGCTCATTGAGATAAATAAAGAATATCGTATCTGCAAGCTTATATTTTGGTGATCTGCTTTTCTGTGTTTTCCCCATATGTAAGCAGAAAGGAACCAACATCCCATCTCTCTCAACCATCAATGTGCCATCCCAGCAACAACTGTCTAGCAAATTGCAAAACTTGGAAGGAATCTAGGATTGGGGGAGCCACTATTGTCTCCTCTAGAATCCCTGCTGTGGATTAAATCCCAATCAAGCTTGCTGGTTCCTTTATCAATCACACCCACCCTAAAGTTGCATTTAGGCTTCTGGCTGGCCTGTACAACCCTTCCCCTTGTCCACCTGTGTAAGCCTTGCTATACTTTTACCACTTCAGTTCTTTATACAAACATCAAGGAAGAACCACTAGGCCAGAAATGACCATCTGTCACTCATGGCTATGTGTCTGTGATGCGCCAGGGATTTACCTTTAGAGCTCTAAAGCATTTCTTTATTTTGCCCACTCTCCTTTCTTAGGAAAGACTTCTGAGGATCAGGGTTGCTCAATTTGTCAAAAAGTAGAGATGACATTTTGCTGAAGCAGATACTCTTACAGGATTATATCTGAACCTTGTTTCCTGATGAAGTGATTTTGTAACATAAACTGGATCAAGCATGAATCTGGTTTTGGAGGCAGGGCATAGACTTACAAAGCAGGAATCCAGCTGCCCCACAACAAGTGAGTAAGAAGGGCTTTGAACCTACTTATAAGAGTGCAAAATCTCTGTCTCTTTTCCCATCCCTGTCTAAAATCATTGGATAAACTAGCCAACCAACCAAACATCTAGTCAACCAGCCAACCAACCAACTAGCCAACCAGCCAACCAACCAACCAACCAGCCAATCAACCAACCAGCCAGCCAACCAACCAACCATCCATCCATCCATCCATCCATCCATCCATCCATCGCACACAACCTTGAAAGCATCGCCATCCAACCAACCAACCAACCAGCCAGTCAGCCAGCCAGCCAGCCAGCCAGCCAGCCAGCCAGCCAGCCAGCACATAGTAGCACATACAGGATGAAAGAGAGGTAAGCCCAGTCTTCCTAGTTCGGGAACTTATTTGCTGCTCTTTGTTGTACTGGTTTGGAAGACAAGTTGGTGTTCCTTGGTGGCCAGGCTTGCACTGTGAAGAGCAGAGAGGTGGTGACATGTCTTCATTAATTGTCTCTACTGTCCACTGGTCTGGCACCCCCCTTTTACCTCAGCCTTCTGCTTTATCAGGTGACAAGTAGGGGGTAATATTTACTCATGCCATTTAGTGCAGTCTCTCTTTCCCTGGGGTTATGTTTTCACTGGGGCTGACCCTGCCATTTTAGCTTGCAAACAGCCATCTATACCCTGGCAAGGTCTTCCCCAGAGTTTAACTTACCATTTTTCCTATTTGCCTGGTCTTCCTTCCAGTGCCCCAAACTACTTTTTTTTTTTTTATCCTCTCCACCCTTTCTCAGCACAGTTGAGTTTATTTAAAAGAAAACAAAACATGAAATGAAACAAAACACCAAAATTATCCTATGAATAAAGGGCCTCTGTGTCGGGTGCTTTTCTAGGTGAGACTAGAGGATATGCTGCCCTCTCATGCTTGTACCTTGTGGCCAGCAAACATGTGTAAACTGGCTGGGCAGCATCAGGGACATGGTCAGCTTGCAACCACAGAGGAGGAAATCTAGTCAGTCCATTGGCTCTCCCCATTGGGAATTGCCCCCATTTGACCACAGAGGAGGAAATCTAGTCAGTCCATTGGCTCTCCCCATTGGGAATTGCCCCCATTTGACCACAGAGGAGGAAATCTAGTCAGTCCATTGGCTCTCCCCATTGGGAATTGCCCCCATTTGACCACAGAGGAGGAAATCTAGTCAGTCCATTGGCTCTCCCCATTGGGAATTGCCCCCATTGTCCTAGTGGCACATGCGTTAAGCCAACACAGTAAACTCTCATATTCAGTTAGAACCCGCTGTGGTGAGCACAGTGGTGGCCACACTGGTCTCCTAGGGTGGCGTGGCTCTTACACCAGATCTGAACAGATCTTCCAGTGGATATTGAGTCAGCACCTGTGACCAAGGTCAGTGTTCATAAGAATTATCCAGACCTCCAATTTGATGCTTAGAATATGGGAGGAGAATTTTCATTTTTTCCTCCACTATAGAATGAACCAAATCAAAGTGGAGCTGGTTTGGGAACCCCCACAGGTGTGGTTCTACTTTTCTTAATGTGGCAACTCACAAACCACTGGATAAGAAATGCTGTACTAAAAGGAATTTAAGCCTGTCAGGTTAATTACACAATATTAGGTACGAAAACAAACAGTGCAACACAAAACATAGCTACATCATTATTGGCAGTAAATGTTAACTCTAAATAAGTGCAACCTGTCCACAAATGCTTGCTATAAACTAATCAAAAAAATAAAAATTTGATGGATAAACATGAAAAAAAAATTCTCACCGAGAATTTTTTTTTTAAAATATCAGCACTCATTTAGAGTTCGGGATTTGTGAAAGAAAGCTTTAAAAGGAGCAAACCTGATTGGCTGTGGCTGTTGCTGCGAAGGGGACACTTGTTGCAGGAGTTGTTGCTGCAGAGACAGTGGCGGACGTAGCGCTGTGCACCATGGGTACTTTCAGGAGGGGAACCATGGGAGCAATGAACAGGAGGGTGGAGCATTATGGTAACAGAAGTGGTGTTTGGCATGGTGAATATCAGAGCAGCAAGCCATCATGGGTTAAACCAGCAGATGGCATGCAATCACAATGCAAAGCAAGGAAGCATGGGAGAGAAATAAAAAGGGAAAATAGCTTATTACAAGTACAATTAAAGGAAGTCTTCAAACACAATCAGTGATTCCCAGAAAGGCCAAAGCACACAGCTTTGATTGATGTATTTATAAACACAATGACAGAGTCATTCCCGATTCAGAGTGTGTCATGACTGTCACAACCGTTGCTTCTCAAAATATGAGAATAGGTAATACTCAATGAAATGAGTATGCGATAACCAAAGAAGACTCATCATAAATTCTAAACATTGAAGGCTCCATAGGCCCAATTTAAGATAAGATGAACTAATTGGAGTTGGAACTAATTGGAGTTAAACAAAATATTTTTTTTCAATTTGGAATCATATCTGAAAACTGGAATTTCAGTTGATAGTGTTTTATTTTGGTAAATAAACATAGAGGCAAAAGAAATGGCCTTGGTGTAAATTCTAGAGCAGTTACTATAAAGTAACCAGATCCATTTTGCCAATGTTTACTTTCTAGACTCCTACATGAAACTGATTGGATGTCCTGAAGACAGATTTTTGTGCCAAGGCCCTGAAGGTGAGAGAAGACTCCACTATTGAAATTTTCCATCTAAGGGAAAGTGGAGGTACAATATATATGTCACAAATAAGTCAACACTCTTAAATAAGAGATAATTAAGCAAGAAAGTTCAGACACTTGATTTCAAAATACATCCATAAATATTTTTTTTCTCCAAAAACAAATACTTCTGGGAAACTCTGATAACTCTAACACACAGCAAAGAGGAGATAAAGGCACACCACTGTGAAACTTTAAAACATTGATGAAATTAGCCTGCCTCTTGTTTGCCTCATGCTAAACCAGATAAACTATAAAGAGAAACAGAACACAAATCATTAAAAAGCACACTTGCACTTGTGTTTTATGTCTCTGTAGTGATTGTTCTAGCATAAGAAGGTCACATTAAAAAGGAACAAAACATTGCTTTCTTAAATACACAAGCATAGCTCACATGTTAACTCTAAAGCCCCTTAGCCTTCAGATCTATTCCTAAAGCATTTCTACCAACTCTGAAATCAATGTCAGACAGTGAAGGCATTGAACATCATATAAAAGACAAATAAAAAAAGGTTGAAACCTACCAATACTGGTAGCGGGTGTCATGCACAAAACTGACCCTGAAGTCATGCAATGAGGTGGGGCGGAAAAGTGAATAAAGGGAAAGAAACAGGTTAGCGGTTTAGAGTTAACATTCAAAGTGAGATTGAAGCACAACCAGAAATAAGTAGGGTTAGTTTACACAGTTTTTAGGGCCCATTCACCTCATCGGTATAGACACAGATATGTGCAGCCAACTTTAAGCCAATAAGATTCCAAGCCCACTGTCACTCTCCCCTTTCTGATCCTCTAGGTCAGCATGGTTCTAAACAAGGATGACACGTGATGGGAGCACAGCGTCCTTTCCTTCTTTGAAGACCTCAAAGTCTTTCCCAGACATTATCAAGTTAATTAATCCTCTAAGGTGGAGAGTGGGTATTTTACAGATGAAAAATCTGAGGCACAGTAACTCCTCCAAGGTTGTGTGTGGTGTGAGTCAGGGACAAGGCCGGAACAGAGTTCCATGCTGAATTCAGGTCAGGTGTGATCCTCGTCAGAGTGCAATCGCTTTGCAAGTCTGTTTGGTGAGGAAATGTGTTGTGTCAACTGCATTGTGAAAATAAGGACGGTGAGTTAAGATTTCATAGCCTCTAAACCAGAGCCCCGACAGGCAGGGCAGGAGAATGAATCTTAACCTAGCAATGAATCTGGAAGTTCCTGAACAGAATCACCTAATGGAGGGGGGGGGGCGTCTCTTCTGGCTATGGAGGTGGCACCCAGCAGCGAGCTCTAAGTATTATACAAGCAATCATGCAGATCAGGACTACACCAGGACCCACCCAGGTGAGAGATTTGATCATGGCCATTTCAGGGTAACTCCCAAGGGATCGGAGAGTCTAGGGAATCTCTGATTGGTGTCTAGATTGGTGAAGAAGGAAGTACCATGTCTGTGCTTCCGTGGGAAGAACTATGTTATCTGTAGATGGTCTTGATGTACCTGCATCAATGGATTCCCACCATGAACAGAGACAGCAGTCAGGAGGGTGGAAAAGATGGGAGCTCTGAGGGGTTATTATCGGCTACCAGTCCTGTCTCTCAGAGTAGAAACTAAGGCAATACAAGGGTTCCTGGGAACTCAGGGTCAAGTGCGTAGGGGTCCCAATGGTACTTTTAATGAATGCAGGTGTGTCTGCTGAAGGTGTCAGAACTGCTGAGATGTTAGATGTGGACTCTGTGTCTTTTATTCACTTTGATAAGGACTTTCGGCCTGACCTACATTTTGACCAGGTTAACATCACTGAGTTAGGAAAGGGCTTTTCAAGTGGGTACCGCTGGCTTCTTTAGCAGAGATGGGCCAGTGCGCCCAGCTTCACACACACACTGAGACACACCCAGATGTGCTCACATGCTTCGAAATCCCTTGCAGCCGATGCTATCTCTTCCTCCAGCCCTATCTGTCTTTCTACTTTCCCCAAATGTCTAGCAAGTTCCCTACATGGGCAGTTTTGTCTCTTTGTTCCCATTTGTCCTTCAATCCTCTCCAGTTTGGTTCCCTTTCACTCTTTTGCCCGGATTGGCAGAGCACTGTTACACCTTCATTCACAATTCCAGGGCTATTTTATACTTGCCTATACCTTGTACACAAGGTCACTTTCTTCCTCCAAATTCTTAGATGGACACACACACACACACACACACACACACACACACACACACACACACAATATTTAGTTCTTTTATGAGAGCCTTCTCTAATAAGAATTCTTTTTTTTAACTTATGAACCATGCTTGCATGTTTAACCAATATCAAGAGAGCACTCAAAAGAGAAAAACATTTGTAGGACCCATTATAATCACCTGTATACATTTGCAAAGTTGCAATTTGCAAGAAAATATTCAAGCCCAGAATGGTATGCTTCTCTTCAGTAATATACATCATTTCTTTATTTGTGCTAAATTCTCTCTATATATGCTGGGGTTTTTAGATGCTATCCTGGGTCCTATTTTTATTTATTTGTTTGTTTGTTTATTCTGATCTCTAGGTCTTCCAGGTGTCTTTCAACTTATATGTTTCAAAGTTATCAATGAACCTGTGGCTTCCACGTTCAGTGTCCTGCCAGATCATGGGTCTCTTTACCCAGCTGTTCTCCTGGCCTCTCCACCTGGGTTTTTACAAGGGTCTCCGATGCAGCTCACCAGGCTGTGCTCTTTCTGATGCGTCTTCTCCATGTCTGGAAACACCTGGTGGCTAGCACCACCCATGCACTTCAGCCTCAACTGCTAAGTGACGCCATTTTCCCTCAGGACATTCCCAGGTCCTCCTCCCCAGTGAGCCAGCACAAGGCTGTGTCTGCCTAGCTGAGCACCTGTCTGCTTATCTGTCACTTCTGTGGCTCTGAAAGTCCCAGGCCATTAGTGCAACAGCGTCTTGCCTGGCTTCCTGCTCCCGTCCTGCCGAGGCTCCTCTCTGCTGCAGAGTCACCCCACTTCTGGGAAGGACTTGTCGGGCTCTGATGCTTTGAGGACAGAGGCCCTGCTAGTCCAGGGCTGCCCCATGGCATCCCTATTTCCCGGCACCAGGGTCCATCTGGATAGTCCTTCGCTGACTTCAACCGAACACACCATGCTTTTCATCTACTTTGGGGCTTCCCACAGCTGTCGCCATCTCCCTAGCTAGAAATCTCTCTCGCCACTTCTTTCATCTCTCACAGGTCCAAGGATGTGTCATTTCTTCAGAAAATCATCCCATTCTTAATTTTCCCACCTCCCCTGCCATCAAAGTCAGTTTCTGTTTTAATTTCTATTTAATTATTTGAGCTCTTTGCTTCTTTTGTTGGTAATACTCTAAGTTTTAACAACCTATTTAGATGGATGTTTAGCATCTTTCTCTCTCACTCTGCTGTGAACTCAGAAGGGCAGAGTCTGTTTGATAAGGTTGTCTAGGGCATTTCTGGGAACCTCCGTGTGGCATCAATGTTCCAGACAGAGGTTAAGAAGTGTTCTGGGAGAAATTTGTTCCTGAAAGCTACTAAAGGGCCTAGTTTATAAAAATATTCCATTTAAAAGTCAACTGTGACAGGTTTCACAGTTACTTCTGTAAAATCCCCCATTATTCTGTATCCTACATCGAAGGGGCTTTCCTCAAGGCCTCCCGGGTCGCTTGTGAATATACAAAGGGTTTGAACCATTGAAGCAGCTCCTACACCACACAGGACATTCACAGCACCATTCTCCTGTGTCCTGGTGTGGGAAGAGCTTCACCATGCTACTACACGGGGTCCTCTCTTTACCTCCCAAGAGTGACTCGAACATGGGAAGCATGCGGCCTCTGCCGTGTGGACAGCTCTCTTCATGCCGGATTCTGGCATTTACTTGCTTCGTAAGCTGCATTCCCACCTCTCACCCGCGTCCTACCCTCTGTTCTTCCCACAGATCCCGTGAGTACTGTGTACAGTTACCACAGCGAGCGGTGCTGCTCTCTGCTTCCAACCTTCTCTTGTCATACCTGCCCAGTGTGCTCTTCTCCCAATGGTAAAAGTCTCACAGCTTTTTTCAAAGTCTTAACAAACTCCTCCTGCTTCAGAGAGATCTCCCTCCTCTGCGCCACTGCGACTGAAGATGAAGGAACACCTGGCCTCTCTCTCTCACTCTCAGGCCCATGCTTAAACCCTGGCTCCATCATACTCTTGTTTCTAGCCAGCTCTGGGCCCCTTTTCATTCTTGCTGTGTGTTTGCAATCCAGACCGTGGCACATGTCTGAGGAGTGCTTACTCAACTGAATGGGATCCATATGTTCTGACTTTAGGCAGACTGTTTCCACTGAACGTCAACAATCCTCTTACAACTTTGTATGACATGTGTGGTTTCCCATTAGTGGGCAATGTCTGGCCTAGAACCCTCCATACACACTTCCAGGAGGATCAGGGAAGGACTGCCTGGCAGGATAGGACCAGCAGGGCATCTCACCAGGGTGCCGACGCCACGCACGGAGCCTTCCCCAACCTTTGCTTCCTCCATTGCACAGACCCTTCAAGCCTCTGTGCGTCAGAACTATCTGGGTACTCTCTTAGTTCTCTATGCCATTTTCTACTGTAAATGCAGCCTCAAGTTTTCCACCAGCAAAATGCAGGTAGCTGTTCACCACTGATAGAACTGTGACAACTTGAAGAACAGTGACCATGTCTATGGGGACACTTCACAGCAACTCAAAATAAACTTGTCACAGAGATGCCCAAAGCTGTTTATCGCACTGCTGTTTCTGAAACCATGAATGATTTCGACACTTTCCTACCATAACACAGTGTATAACTTGTTTAAAATAACCCCATCAGAAAAAAAAGAGACAAAGAAGAAAAACCCCACCCACTAGACTGTGCCAGGGCACCAGCCAAGGTGGTAATTATCTTACTATGGTTGTGGGGAAGAAGCCCACAGCCTGTGTGACATTTTACACTAAGACCTTTACAGACTGGAGGCACATCTCCTAAAATCCAAATTAATATTGTGTCAATGGGAGGATTTTAGTACACATCAAAGCTTTACTATGGGCGGGCTTTCAGCGCAGGGTAATCTCAAGAGGACACAAAAAGAACGCCCTTGATTCATTTCTATGATAACTGCTTATGTGAAACATTAACAGAAAGTTTTTTTTTTTAAATGTTGGTTAAAAATAACATTTAACCTCCTGCTAAAAATTACCATACAATATCATCACCTGACCAGCAGAGGTTTAAAAACAACCAGAACAAACCTCAAGCAAGTATTATCATTGCCATAAAGTTGAAAATGGTTTATATAAGAAATATATCCTAAAACAAAAAACCAAACAAACAAACAAAAAAAAGCCTACTATTACCATGGATTTAATTGGGAGAGAACTTATGCTAATTTTATTTTTAATAAAATTGTTTTCTCTTATATCTCTTCAGAGAAACGTGGTGAGTTTCTTGGGAGTTCAGGTACCACTCCAGTACACAAAATCCACACGATTACCCACTGAGATCTTCAAACATTTGCAATTCCCAGAACTAAGTGGGCTATACAGCTCATCTCTTGGCTCCCATAGGCTACAGGTTGCCAACACAGCTGAGCTGTTCCTAGGGAATCCACCAGAGGGCGGGCATACACAGCCACAGCTCACAGGGACTCTATCATTGACAGGTTTCATCCTCAGGAATCAGGTTATGGCTTAAGCTTTGCTATTCAGCCTTGCTTGGGAAATACTTAAAGTGAGGAAGCTTTGGTGATTTAGCCAACCAGTCATTGCTGGATTCGAGTGTTCCATATGCCTTGGAGGGCTACCGAGGCCTTGGTAAGGCTCAACTCAGGGTCTCCCTGGTGTTGCCAGGAGATTTTGTCGTCTCTAAGAACCATTCTTCAAAAAACAGACTTGCCTTTTCTACTTTTCCATTCATCAACGTTTTTCCTCTCTTAATATGTATAGTGGCCACAAGGTCTATAATGGGACACTTGTAGTAACAGACAGGACCCTCGGGATGAGCTAATCTTCTGGCAATTACGTTATTTCAGGTGGGTTACAATAACAAATATGGCCAAGCTAGAACAGCATGGAACACCATTACTTAATGCCGCAATAGGGTGAAAAATGAAGGCATTTTAAGATAGATTCAGAACTCAGGTCCTTTCTGACATAGTTCATCTATATCAATATAAATATAGTTTATAGGTTACTATTCATTTATAGTGTTTACACAAAGGCTACTACCGAAATAAAATCTAGCTACCTCCGATCCTAACTCATCATACACTAGGGAATCTAAGGAGATTAATCATCCAATCAGATTACGGGCTGTGTCTCCTTGTTTTCATGGGGTGACGGATGAATTTTCACTTGGAAAAACTCAATGCATGTTCTTCCCAACAAGGTTGAAGTCACCTGTTTCTAACAGAGACTAAAAGGTAAAACCTGGTTAAGTGAAGATGACCATGTCTGTGAGGGTGTGTGGGGGCGCATGCAGCTGTGTCTGAACCACTGAACGGGATGACGTATGGGGGAGGGGAGTTAGAGTGAATACATTTTACACTGCTTTTCTTCACCTGAATCAACTTTTTCCTCATGCCACTTCAAAAAAAAAAAATCCACTTTAATCTGATTTTGGGGAGAGGTCTATCTACGCCATGTGGGAGCCAGTGGGGTGGTGTAATGTTATGTAAGTTGGACCAGGCATTAGAACAATAGGCCTGGCATTGTGTCTGTCAGCTGTGCCACCTTGGAAAGTCACTTGTCATTATTACGGGGGCCTCAGTTTTCTCATTTGTAAAACAGTCAACTGGATGAAGAATTCATGAAGACCTTGCATCTGCGAGAGCCCGTGGTTACCAGGCGGTCTGCAGTGAGTGGTAGACTAAAGGATGCCAGCCCCTCTCCTCATCACTCATTGGCTCAGAAATGGAAGACAAGCACTCCAAATGCTTGTGAACTTGGTGAAGGTTGAGAAGGATGGAGAGAGAGAGAGAGAGAGAGAGAGAGAGAGAGAGAGAGTGAATATAAAAATATGAGCAGAGGATTACTTTAATTTGAATAGCCTTAGACTTTTTAGTGCTCTGAATAGAAGCAGGGGAAAAAACGGTTAGTATTTATTGGAATTTATATTTTTAGGTCATAGAGAGTTAAGGAAAAATTTAAATTATCTAATAAAAATCTTACATAAGCTATTTTACAGGCCTTGGGTAAACAGAAGAAACACAAAGCTTTGTCTGCCCCCTGTGTCTCAAGTTAAACCCCATCAAACATTTGACTTTACAATCCTAACTGCCTTTAGCTATCAAAGCAAGTCAATGGGCCTAGACAGCTAGGGCTGTGGTGGGGTCAGGCTGTATCTATTTGTACCTTCTAAATGCAAACTAGATGCCACCAAACAGCTTAAAGAAATGAGAAGAGAGCACATGACCAGAAAGACACAGGACACGGACGTGGACAGTAAGGGCACGTACCTGTAGGGATAAACGCCGTGTGTTGCTGCAACTGTGCACTGGTCAGAGCCTGCTGGTAGTGCAAGACACTGGGGTTGAAGGCTGTGCTGGCGCCGTTGCTCTTTTCAAGTGCTTGTCTCTTTGGTAATGGGTGAAGAGCACCAGGAGGGAAAGCCTACAGGTGAAGAATTTGAGAGGATGTGTCCAACTTAAAGCAAACACGCGTTCCATGTCCACAGAGATCATCAATTGCAACAGTCTTTATTTTTTCTTTCTTTCTTTCTTTCAAAAAACAACAGCTAAGGAGATGCCTCTGCCATGCACCTTAATTTAAACAGCGGCAATGTCGAATGAGTGAGGATTTGTTATTGAGAGCGAAAGCATGAACTCTGTAACCCAAAAACAGTAGCATCTCAACTAAGGAAAAGAAAAACTATCAAGCAACAACAATGGAAAAAAATGGCTTCAGCTTTTAAAACAGGTTAAACTACTCTAAGGGGGAGAGAAGAGCTTTTGCGTTATTATTAATATCTATTCTGTAACTGAATGGCAATTTCTTGAATTTAAAGGTTAATAAGAATTACATTGAGCATTTTTTTCTGAGCCCCATAAATTTAAATTTGCTTCACTCTTTTGGAAAAGGTAATTAAATTTTGTTAGGATGAATTTTTTCCCAGATTACATATGCAAATGAGACGACTAAACACCTTATTGGATTTCCTCCATTTTAAAATTAATAATAATGATTGGCTGCAACCAGTATTTTAACATACAAATCTCAGCTGGTTCTCTGAAAAGCTACATGCAAAGCGAAAGGTGAAAGGTCAAAGTACCAGGTCTACAGTTGCTTCGAGAGGTCGCTTCAGTGCTTTGGCAGTCGACTGAGTCTTTTAATAACAGGCAGCGAGCACATGATGGCAGTGGGCCAATGGGATTCAAGCGAATTAACATACAGGTAAACAGCAAGCAGAGGTGCATCATGGGAACGGCATTGCATTGTGGATAGGTGAGAAGGAAAAAAATATTCTGAATGCAATATACAACGTACAAAACACTAAGCATGCACAACAACAAAAATGTTCTCTAAAGAAATGAATATTACACCTTAAATTAGTATTGAAGCAAAAATGCATCTACTATACCTTAGTTAAAAGCGTATAAGAGAGTAAAATATAGATGTTTGAAATTCAGGAAGGTATATTAAAACAGCAGCTTGCATACACACCATAAGCATTTTTTTTTTATATTGCTTCAGGGGGGAAAATGCAAAACTTCTAAGGACCATAGAGCTAAAGAACATCTGATAAGTTAGTTCAGATATGAAATAATCACGAAATAAAGGTCATCATACATCCCAACCAGGAAAATCTTCATTCAGGTGTGTTTTAATTCCGATCTAACCTAACAAAATGAAGTGTCAAACTGAGACAAAAAAATTCAGGCAAAAAATATTCAAACACAAGATTATTTAGGCAAAACAGTTTGGGTTTGGGTCATTATTTTTTGGCTGAATCACGTGGGTAATTGTCTCAGTTCTTTTCTTCACCCTGCTAGGGTGGGGTCGTCTTATCATATGGATTAATGTCCCAAACCTGGTGTGATTCGAATTTAAATAGGAACTTTCCAATTTTTTCCATTTACTCTACTAACTTATCATCCGTTCTGTTTCTACTACATTTGAAATTATAATTCATTTCAAACAACTTACCGGGTTATACTAAGAAAATACCCTTTTAGAAGGTATTTTGTGACCTTGGGTATTAGGGTAACTTCTCTTTAGTAATACTATTTGTACTTTTAGCTACAATCAGTGATCATACTGGACAATGACAGCGGGACCTGCACTAGAACGGGCAGTTGAGAGAGCAGACAACTGCCTTTGGAAGAACCTTCAATTTAGAACCATGCTTCGAGAAGACAGTTTCATTTGAACAACCAAGGTACTATTGAATCTGGGCTGATTTAGACCCCAGTGAAAAACGTTCCTCTTTCTGGTTAACTGTTAATGGGTAGGAAAATTCTATGGCAGAATTCTGTGAAAATAAAGAGATCCAGGAAGCAGCTTCAATGCAAATAGGAACAATGAATATCCCCCTTTGTGGTTGGCACAATAGGTAAATCCCCAAGGTATATCTGATAGAATTCACAATCTGAAGTTCTTTGGCAAATTCGGGGCTGTTCGTCATTTGATGATTCAGAGGCAGAGATAGCTTAGGAGCTATGGAACTTGGAGAAATAGACTAGAAATAACCTGGGAAGAACTGTGGGCAGGGAATGGCCAAGAGTGAATAGAATGTTCTGGGAGGCAGTTTGGATAAAAGCCAGCCAATAATAGGAAATTGATTTTTTTTTCAAAATAAAACTGAATATTGAAAATAAAAACAGCTCAAGCTCTCAGACACTCCTCTTTGTTTTGTTTTTGAGACAAGGTCTTCCTTTGTAGCCCAGACTGGCCTTGAACTCACAACAATTCTCCTGTATCAGCCTCCAGAATGCTGGGGTTAAAAGGATAGGCCACAATACCTAGCAACTCCTGGATATTATTAAATGTAAGTACGATACATGAAACTTCCATGATTCCATTTTGGCTAAAATCTTTCATCCCCATACATACAGTTTCATGTTGTTAACAAACACAGGGCCTGTTCCCACCCCCAATTATTTGTGTGTGCACCTGGACATGTAGGAAAGATGAAACATGTGGAAACAGTTCTCCTTGCAGCATGTGGGGCCCAGTGACTGAACCCAGGTTATCAGGCTTGGCAGTAAATGACTTTACCCACTGGGCCTTCTTATTGGCCCTAAAAGCTTGATTCACTAACAAGGGCTACGTGGCTGTTCCCCCAGACCACATGGAGTTGCTCACCAGCTGGCTGAGTCCAAAGTCTTCTGTCCTCAATTGTCAGTCTTGGTTTTCTACTCTCCCAGCTCCCAGTGGGCAGGACTTCTGATGAGCCTATGAGTCTCTACAAGCTGATGCTCAGGGAGTCACCTTTAACTTGACAGAGCACCCTTTAGTGAGCTTGCCACTAAGTAATGTCAACTATTTCTTTTTGGGACAGGCATATGGAAGTTTAATGGTCTTCTTGTTTTCTTTTCTTCCTCCCCCCTTATTTATATTATTTTCTTGGGTAGTTGAAACCTAACTTTCAGAGGTGAGAGTAACTTAGGAGTTACTGAGAACTGTAAGGTAAGGATAGTGGCAATCTGTCTCCTCTTCCCATCCTTTATCAGATGCAGAGCTGAGGTTTTGAGGAACAAAGGTTTCCATACATATCAAGGCTTTATGGAGATTATAATATGAAGCCCACATGTAGAATATATTTTTAAAACCTGTGCAGATGAATAGCCATGCCATCACAAGCTTCCTGTCACACATGTGCTGGTCCAGGTGAGACCGATTGCTGGCATGCTTACCTGCACTGAACAGTCGGTCCACCTTCAGGCTTAGACCTGACTTTAGGGATGGCAGGGTCCAGTGTGTGCTAGGTATGTTTGGTACAAGTGCGAGAAGGGTCAGCTTAACTATACCTCTACTTCATGCCAGATTCTTGGGCTCTATTCTTACTGGCCTTGTCTGTATTTTTGATCCCCTGGCCTTAGGCTTGCCTCCATCTGGTCTGAAAGGATGGACACACACAACAAGACTTATGTGAAGCTGAGGTTTCCTTTTTAGAGTCAAGGAACCATCCCACTTTAGTCAAGGAGCAATCACCCAGGCCAGCATTACAGGTGAGGACCACAACCAGGGGGCCAGGAGAGCCTGCAAGAGCAATCGCAGGTGGTGCTTTACCGCTTTCGTAAAGGAGGCAATGAGTGTGTGGGGCTCAGAGTCCCTGAGAGTGTTTTCTAGGACAATTCAAACTTATCTGGTCAACAGCAGCCTGCCCTGTTTCCTTTTACAAACTAGTTCTTTCCATTGTCACCCTATTTTGGTTTAATGTGAACAAAGACTGTACATGAAGATCAAACACCCTTTGTGTTAAAACTACCAAAGCATTATCTCCAACTGGCTTATTGTCACATTTGAAAATCTCTGTCGAGAGAGATGCTTATATGGTTTAAGAGGTATTATGAAAGAATAAGGTTCAAATGGAGAGAAGTGCTGCTTCTTTTCGGCAGTCGGAGATTTAAATTCTTCTTAATGTCTGATTATTTCTAATAAGTGGGGGTGTGGGGAGAAATCCCTGGACAAGAATAAGAAATCACACCATGGAAGTGTGCTGCTTTCAGCCACAGAAGTCAGGTGAATAGAATGTTGATGTCTTCTACTGCAACCAGCACTCCCATTTGTCCTTCTAAATGAGGAAACACAATAATAGTCCTGCTGCGGCTGGAAGGCTCATCAAACTATACCTGGGCTGGTCTCAAAGGAGCCTTTCATGTCAGCCAGAAAGGCATGACAGATTCAGCAATCTTCCTGTCACTGTCAGAAAGGCACTGGATTTGTTCTGAAACTACATCACTTTGGGTTGCCTCGGAAGGGGCTTCGAGATCCTGTGACTTCTCAGCGCTCCAAATTTGGGCATGGTGTAGCAATTCAAGAAACTATGGTAACTGGTTCTCACAACATCTACAGCAGTAACGTTCTGATGAGATTCCTGGAGAATGTGGAGGAGGGCGTGGGGCGGAGCTCAGCCATGGCTGTAGACTGTGAGGCTGAGGGATGACCTGTTTGGGTGAATGGACATTTCTGCTCATATCCCCACCCCCCGGGCACCTGCCATGGACACAGATTAGGTCCACGGCCCCATTCAGTGATTGAATTGGTATTGATTATATATATTGGAACTCGTGCTTCTAGGAGACAGGCAGATATAGCCAGAGCTTAGATAAAATCAGGGCTGAGCCTGTAGTCCCTGTGACTATTATTTTGTCAATCTTCACAAGTATTTGAATTAGAGGGACAAACATTTCCACACAGCTTATGCTGAGAGGCAGTCACTGTGACCCAGGATAATGAGCTCCTATCACTTTAACCACAGAGACAGCGACAAAAATGACAAGACAACAATGGCTTATCCCCCTAATTAGAGCCTGTGCCGAAAATATTGTCTTCTCAGTCATCAGATGTAAGAACATGTCCCTAAAGATGTCTCAAGCCATGGGCTGTGCTATGGGGAAGAAGCTGGCCTCAGAAAGTAGAAGTGACTTGCTAAGGGAGACTAAGGTGAGGAGGAGAGACAGAGCTGCCAGCTAGGGAGAGGACAGAAGGTGAGGAGAGGGACAGAGCTGCCAGCTAGGGAGAGGACAGAAGGTGAGGAGAGGGACAGAGCTGCCAGCTGCTGACATCCCAAGCCCTGTTTTCTTCTCTCTTCCTTGGAGGTGTTACATGATGCAGAAAAGTCATTGGTCAATAAACTTGGTCACTTAAGCCAAGTCATTTGAGAATACCAGAGTCCCAATTAGCCCAGGGGGTGCCTTAAGCACCTAGTGTGGCTTATAAAATGAATGACCTAGAGAAACATAACTTTGCTGGTCACGAGTCAACACCAGGAGTACTAAGTTGGAGCTGGTCTGAAAAGTGATAGAAGAGAGACTCAACGACTAAGACATTCACTAAGTAGATGAGAACAGAGTCCTCTACACTAAAATAGATGTGTAAAGGACATGTTTGCGCTAAGAACAATTCACTTTCCAGATACACTGGGTTGTTTGAACGATTTTAATCTTTCCATCCATCCTCCTTGTTTCCCAAGATAATGACTTTCCTAGTTCGAGATTTCATGAAAGCGGTCAGTGGGAGCATTTCTCCCTCATGTGGATATACTAGGCCTCACATGTACACAGACTTAGACACTCAGGGTACTGTCTGAAGACATGAGAAAGAGAATACAGGACACTAAAGAGACAAAGTCCGAGAAAAAAAAAACAAAACAGCAAGGTGGAGAGAAGACTTACTGTGAAAGGCACTTGGAGCCCAGAGGACCAGGACCTGTTCACACAAAAGATTGTAGCAGGCAAGGGCTGTGCTGTGCACCTTGCTGCTGGGACCCTACCCTCATCAACACTCACTCACTCACTCACTCACTCACTCACTCACTCACTCACTCAATCACTCACTCGCACAAAGAATGCTGACGGAGAGGAGATGTTTGGATGTGGCAGCCCCTCTTACATCTTGGTTGCTCATCACTTCGAGACTCTCTGCCAGGCTAGAAAGTGCTCTTCTAAAGGTTTGTTTTCATTTGTATATGAGGGTGTGTGACTTGTGTGTATGTCTAGGTACCACTTGCACACAGTGTCCATGGCGACCAGAAGAGGGTGTGGGGAGCACTGGAATGGGTGTTACAGATAACTGTGAAGCAGGTGAGTCCTCTGGAAGAGAGGCCAGTGCTCTTTACCCTTGAGCCACATCCTTGACCATGCTTTCAGGCGATCCCTTTCCTCTCTGGAGTCCATCTGTCCATTCCCAGGAAGGACAGGCCTCTGTGCTCTTCCTACCCCAATGAGTCCACTGCGTTTTCCATTCTGTGGTTGAGAAGCCCTATTGCTCACACTTAGACATGCCAAGCTCCTTGAGGGCTGAGTGACCAGCCTCCTCTCTTTACTCTCCCCGGGGAGGCGCTGCACGGCTGGCAGCCTTCTCAGCGTTTTCTGTGAATGGGTGCACTGTGCACTAAAACAGACTTCTGAAGAGCCACAGCCCCACTTTAAAATAAACCCACTACAAATGTCTGCCACCTAGCACCACGGGTCTCAGCTATGGATATGCACTGGGGTTGAGTCACCTGGAAGCTTTGCAGGGCATGACCCAGGTCCCTGGTCCCTGTCTAGATCACGGCACTCCAACTAGCTGCTTTGGGGTTAAGATCAATGTCAGATCCCTTTCTAAACCCTTCAGTGGATTCCTCTGTACAGTGGGTTGGGGAGAGGTCTAGGCATATGATTCTCAAGCATCAATGCTGTGTAAAACACCTGGGGATTTTTCAGTATTACGGGGTGTGTGTGTGTCTGTGTGTGTCTGTGTGTGTGTGTGTGTGTGTGTGTGTGTGTGTGTGTGTGTGTGTGTGTGTGTCTGTGTTTAAGGATGCCCATTTGCCAGAGGAATTGGAGCCCCCCAGAGCTGGAGTTATAGGCTGTTGTGAGTTGCCTGAGGTGGGTACTGAGAGTCAAACTCCAGTCCTCCCCAGGGGCAGGACATGCTCTTCACCAATGAGCTGTCTCTCTTGTTCCTAACTGGGAATTTACTTGTTAAAAATTAAAGTTTTGGTCCTGAGTGTCTAGGTAAGACTTAAGATTTAGGAGGCCAAGGGACAGCTGGAGACAGTGAGGTTCAGGAGTTTCAACAACATTGGTATCTAAGGGACAGCAAGGAACATCAAAGGGCCAGCCTGGGTGTGGGTATTTTCGCTCCCTGTTCAGTCTTTCATGAGGTGCTGCTGGAGAGTGAGTCCTCCCTGAGGCTGGTCATAAGCACTGGGCAGAAGATGAAGACCAGAGAGACACAGGAGGAGTTGCTGGGCCCTGGTGGGGTCAGGGGTCGCTGGGTATCCCTGAGGGCTACAGTTCCCCTTCTAGACTGACTTCAGCAGCTGGCTGCATGAGTTGCCTCCTTGCCTGCTCCCTGAGTTTGACTGTTCTTGATTGCCTTCTGATTCACTGCAAGATCCCAGATCCCAGTTCAAAAGGGCAAAAGGGAAGGTGCTCACAGACCTGACTGCAGAGGTGACAAAGCTCACAGCCTCAGTTTCCTGCACCTTGGGGATTTAGTCATTGTGAAGAAGGGAGGGGAAAACGGAACAAAACGAAAAGGGGTGGGGTATGACAACAGAACTTAGGCAGCGGAGCAGAGGGAGTGGCAGCCTTGTCTCCCAGCTGTCCTTCCCACCCGCAAGCACCACCCACAGCCTGGGAGGCGCAGTGCGGTGCAGGCGGTGCACTTACCATGACTGTGGCCGGCTGCCTGGGCGGCCACCGCGGCCTGGTTGGCTTGGTGCTGCGCCGCTTTGATTTTGGCCTGCAAGTGTGCAGGAGGGTGAAAATATTTGCATTTCTCCCTCATGCAACGCCCCTTTATGTAATCCATACAAACGGTTACGGTGTTGTCGTTTGTGTCGATCATGGTGCTGTCTGCCGGGTGTGCAAAGCGGCAGTCTGTCTCTCCCCGGGCACAGTTTCCTCGCTGGAACTCCCTGCATACCTGAGACAAGGGCAAAGAGCAGAGGCTGCAGAAGAAGGCCTGGTGTCACCGCTCCAAAGGAGGGGGAGGATGGGGAGAGGGCCAGGAGCAGGGAGAGGAGGAGGGAGAATAGGAGGAGGGAGAGGAGGGGGAAAGGGGATAGGAGGAGGGAGACACAGATGAGGAGACAGGGGAAGAGGAGGAAGGAGAACTCGGAGACACCCTTTCCACATCCCCTCATGGTGCTTTTAGGTTCACAGAAGGCAAAACTGTTGTGATCTAGAACCCAAGTTACTGGAATTTACTAACAAACTAATTTGGGTTTTGCTTTGACCCTTTTTCCAGGGTAAATATTGAAATGGAGAAATTAATCTGAAATCTGCTTTTTACCTAAAACAACAAAGGAAACATAATTGAAGGAAGTCACCATCGTCCCTGCAAAGCACATCATTTTCACTTCTTACATGTATGTCTTTGAATGCCTGTCACAGTCATAACACACACACACACACACACACACACACACACACACACACCCCCCCCCCTGCCTATCCATAACACACCCCACGCATACAATCTGTGTATTGATTTATCTATCAGTTGATCTATCCTATCTATCAATCATCTATCAATCGTCAATCAGCCAATCTATCTGTTGATCTATCTATCCTATCTATCAATCATCTATCTATCTATCTATCTATCTATCTATCTATCTATCTATCTATCTGTTGATCCATCTATCCTATCTATCAATCATCTATCAATCTATCTATCTGTTGACCCATCTATCCTATCTATCATCTATCTATCTATCTATCTATCTATCTATCTATCTATCTATCTATCAACCCATCTATCCTATCTATCTACCATCTATCTCTGATCTATCCGTCTATCACCTACCATCATCAGCTCCTTCTTACTATGCTTATGTGGCCATAGTCATGTATCCATGAACTCTATCTTTTCTCTTTTCATTTATCCTTCTTCCCTTTCATCTTCTCTCTCCCCTTGTCTCCCTCCCCTCCCCGCTTCCCCATTTTCTTCCATTCGGGGTCTCCTCAGTCACTCTGTCTACAATGTCTTATAAGGCCTGTGTGCTGGTTACACAATACACACATTGGTACAGCTGGTGTCTCCTACTTGGACAGTCACTCTGGGTGCTATAGATTCCTGGCACAGAAAGATGGTTCACCCATGCACCAAGCCACCACAGTGTGCAAACAGTTCTGGGACAATGGCCCATCTGCTTACATCTCTGAGGGTGGGGGCAAAGCTCGACAGCTGTGAAGGACCCTGCCTCCCCTTCTCCCACCCCTGTTCTAGGACAGCATCACACCTAAGACGACCAATCCTAAGAATTTAGAACACTTGGTCATCAAAACTTTCATTCTAAAGCCACTGAAATATTTTTGATAGCTCACTAAGGAAAAAAGGAAAGAAATAAACTAAGAAGAAAAGAATAAGTAAATGGAGGGAATAGAATAGTTAGAAATGTTGATTTCTAAAAATTTTCAATTCCTTGGTCTCCTAAAATCTCAAATAGCTGAGCCTCCCCATCTTTTGAGAATTCTAGTGAATTGATATTTTACCCTACACAGATAGATTTCTGTAGACACCGAAGGGTATTCTTCACTATAGACCGTATGATATAAGAAAAGCCTATGCAAAGTAATTATATAACTCATCCCTGCTTATAAATATTAGCAGGAAGAAGCCCACAGGATGGTAAGGTTGCTTCTCCTGGGCTCCAGTCCCACAGCAAGTAATCTAAACAGTGGCTTGTTTCTTGGTCACCAGTGACATTACTGACAGAACAGAGATATGAAGCTCAAGTCTGCAAAAGTCAGTCATGTCTGGGAAAGTATTTTATTGACCCCTGGCCAAGCCAGGTTGATGGGTAAATGGGTAGAATGCCAAAGGTTTTCACAACTTCTTCCTGTTTGGGTTCCATCATCAGTACAAAAGTTTGTAAATGAAAATCTAGTCCAATATTCACTTAAATTCTGTTTTTTTTTTTTTTCAACAGAATCTCATGTAGCCTAGGTTGGTTTCAAATTCACTATGTAGCAGAGACTGGCCTTGAACTCCTAATCTCCAAGTCTCTACTTTCCAAGGGATGGGATCACTACACTCGGGTTTGTCAGGTTCTGACTCTGGTCAGAACCTCATGAGTATAGCTGGGACTTACATGGGTGTGCTGGGGCAGCTGGTGTCATTCCTGGCATGAAATGAACCCAAAACTGATCTGTTAAGGTCATCTGTGGAGAGCAGATCCCTTGTCTGCCAGTCCTGTTGGGAAGGACCCTTTGTTTCCAACTATTCTCATTTTATTTGGTTTTTACTGTCATCCTGAGCACCTAAGCTCCCACAGCCCCAGCAGGTGGAGCCCCAAACACCTCCTTCTCAGAACAGATCGCAGGAGCCATAGGATAGCCTAAAGTTTCCAAAATAGTAGTGAGTAGGGTTTATAGTCTCTTCATCTGGAGACCCATACACTCTAGATAGAAGCTGAGTGAAAAAAATGTAATTTTGAAAACATTTGCATTTTGACATGCTGAATTCTAAAACATTTGCCAGGGGCCGTAAACATTTCTTGTCCTCAAGATTTATTTCATCAGCATTGAAATGAATGTACACTGGAAGAAGATTCCTTACTAAGCCTGTATTCTAAGCATCTACAGATTACCTAACAATTCTAATCAATAATGGAATTAAAGGGCACCTTTCAAAAGTCTACCAGGACCTTTACATAACCACATGGGATATACTGCTGGCTTTCACAGGCACAATGAAGCAGGTTAAAGAAAAATTTTATTCAATAAAGTCCAGGAGGATTTGCTTGATCAGATGTAAAGGTGTGTGTGTGTGTGTGTGTGTGTGTGTGTGTGTGTGTGTATGTGTGTGTGTGCTTAATCCTTTTGAATTTCATACATCTGAGTTTTTGTTAAATTAAATATGCCATGGTAAATTACATATGACAGTTAAAAACAACATATCAATAACCAAGTTAATTGAGCCTGCAGCTTTTCTATTATCAACAAAGCCATGAAGATGCTGTAGCATCTGGAACCTGCTGGACAGAGCACCCATTCTTGATTCATACAACTATTGGGAGCCGAAGCCCTATTTACCCTACTCTTGCCACTAAGTGCTCTCTCCCATTCCCCTGACTGTTGGCTTCTGACCATCTCCAGAGCTTCCCGAAGCCCAGTAAGGGCTATTGCTGCTGTGCACAGCAGGAGCTGGTGAAGACCAAGAGCCAACTCTCTGGCTTACATCCTGATGATGTCCATATCCTATTGGTTGACATTTATCTAGTGTTTTGAGACAGAGTCTCACTCTGTGGCCCACACTAACCAGGAACTTCTTTGTAGCCCAGTCTGGACTTGAACTTGTGACAGGATTCTTGCTCCAGCTCCTTGGTGCTGGGATTATAGACACAGGCTACTGTGTCTAGCTCAATATTTTCTTCTTACGAATAGAAGCCACACAGCTGAGTTTTGTCTATATCAAAGTTATTCTTTGCCTTTGGGCTAATTTCCTTTATGGTTGGCATTGACTTCACACTACAGCATTGTGAGTACCCGGGTTTACAGCAGTGTGTCTGTGTACACCTCCATGGATTTTGTGCAGTATGAAATGATCTCACAGCCACTCACCATTCTGATAGACATATATTTCTACCATCAACGCATCCCCAAACACAAACATAATTGAATTACCTCCAGTTTATCAGTCCTGAGAAGTTTCTGAGTCGCAGTTGAGCCCGGGACAGTGACTGGTGGACTTCCGGGAACAATGACAGGTGTGGTGGGTAGAATCTCTGTCGGGACTAACCCAACTCCAGGGGTGACGGGCGCTAAGTAAGGAGCAAAGCTAATAGCTGTGTTTGTCCCTATGGTGGGACCTACAGGAAAAGTGGGCTGTTAAAGGAAAACAACACAGGAAAAACTCATTTAGTACAAAACTTACCAATGAGCGTCATTTGAGCAGAAATTCACACAATTACTAGTAAGTGCTGTCTGAGAGGAAATTTCCCCTGCTTAGAAAATCCTTTGTATCAGGTATACAACTCAATTCTGAATTGCAAAAAGTTCACTAAACACTCCCTTTTCTTTTTCAAATATGAAAACATCAAAGATCCTTTCTTACCCAGACCCTACAGACATATTGGAGAGCATCAGAGAAAACCAGTGTCAAGGGACAGATTACACTCTTCCTGGGAAAACGTTCTCAACAACCGAAAATACTAATTTCACACAAAATACCTATCATTCTAAACTACTGAGTGCTCTAACCAAAGGCAGTTAAGACCTAGAGAATATAGACTGGTCATCTATCGTTTTCCTGTAGGTCTCCACCAGGGCCATGAATAAAACACGCCTTGATTGTAGCTCGGTATTGATGTTGGCCAAGTTCATACATTTTTAAATGGTGGGGCTTCCCAGGGCTCTTACCAGCATGTCTCTATCACCAGCATGGACATCCCCAGCTCACAGGTGTTTTCACGTGTACCTACTATATGTTGCTCTATCCTGCTATGTGTTGGTGCATCCTTCCATTCTTGAAAGGTTGGGCTGGAGAGTGTGCAGTTTTCAACTGTGAATACTTTTTCACACATGGCCTCTAAAACTTTCCTGGGTCACGCAATCAAAAGCAGCAACAAGCACACCCAATCTCTTGTTAAATGTATTATCTGTCACCATAGTCCTGCCTAATAAGAATTACCCTGTGGGTTGGTAGGACAATTATTTTTACCAGTTCCATCTAATAAATACCTGGATGATGCCATCTTCCAGAAAAGACATTATGTACCCTTAGACAACAAACCTATTTCACCTCTATTTATTCAAACAAAGTCTCAGTACACATTCCAGGATAGATGGTAACTATTATGTAGCTCATCGGCAGTTCCTTGACTCATTTTTTACCTTTGAAGAACCACTGGTGACATGGTTTCCAAAGAGTTTTCTAAGAATCAACTGCACATTGAACTAAATCTAATGGCTCTTTGTTCTTGTTTTTTTTTTTTTCCAGTTATGGAACTTTTTTTTTTTCTTTTTTGGAGTGTTGGGGCTTGAACCGAAGGTCTCATATGTGATAGGCAAGCACTTTCCCACGTATATCCCCAGGTTTACAGATACTTTTGCAAAGTGTTTGCTTTCACAATGAGTTCTCAAATATTTCCAGTCACGTCTCAACGTGACTTTCTAGCACTGAGCTATGTTGGTGTGGTGTGTCATAATATTTTCCTATTTTTACACTGTGGGTAACGGTTCTCAGTCTGTTTAGATTGTAGATGCCTTGTGTAACACATGGGAAAACTAACGGTCTGTGTGAGTATATTTTCATTTAGACAACCAAGCAATGTCTCTTATGGATGGCCATGCTGGGAAACAGCAAATTACTGATAGTTTGTGCAGAGATTTCCATAGAGACTGCAAAGTCTTCATAGGAGTGGCCGGGAGCTGAAGGAGGGGATTCTAATGGTCTTGGAGGAATGCTGGGTAGTTTTCCCATGAGGAGCTCTTACATCTTTATGGTTCAGAAATAATGTTTGCTTTGGGAGAAACTGCAGCATGAGCTCCGCACCCTGAAGAGGGATGGTGGTTTAGTATGCTTTCTTCCTTGACTTTCTGCAAAATTTTCCATGGATGGGATGTGTTACCCACTGGAGTTATAACTATGGAAAGCAATGGCTTTTTAGTAACCGTCACTTTGGTAATTCAGTACTATTGAAAAAAAAAAAAAGCCAAGTAACTTAAGAATATAAGGACTGCTTTTTTTTTTTAGGATTAAAAATATCAACCTTGAAAGGCCACACACATCAGTGATTCAATGGACCTACTGTATCTAAACTGCCTTGGGGGTGGGTTTTTAAAGTGGCAAATGCTGGTATAGTAAGTCTTGGCAGGAACCTTGAAATTCTCATTTAAAAGCCTTACTATGTGAAGAGTATATGACCAAATTTGGGGACCACCCTCATAAAAGAGGAATGAAAGTAGGTTTTAAATGCCATGTTTATATCATGAGATTCAGTTCAGAGAATAATTAACAAAGCTAGTATTTAGAAAAAAAATGAAAACTTCCATGAACACCTCTGATTTGATTTTTATGGATGCACATACCTTAGTTTTCCATTTATTTATTTACACACACACATGCCTGTGCCTGTGCCTTGTGTGTGCCATGTGTGTTTAAAGGTGCCCAAAAGGCCACAGGAGGGACTCAGCTCTCCCTGGAGCTCCAGTACCAGCAGTTGTGAGCTGCCTGACATGGGTGTTAGGAGACAAGCTTGGCTCCTTTGGAAAACCAGCAAGCACTCTTAACTGCAGCTCTACAGCTCCTCTTTTTTTTTTTTTTCATGCATGTAGATTGCCAACTCTCTTCTGTTACAAGCAAACATGGTGATATAACTGCACATTGACCCTTGGATCAAGTAAGTAAGAATCTCAAGCTGTGTTTTCCAAAGTCCTTATTGATATCAATGAACTTATTCCAATAAAATATCCCTTCAAAACTGTATTATTTGTTCATCTAATTTAAGGTTCTGAAATATATTCAGTATGCATTGTAGGTGATAGTAGTAACATTTTACTAAGACATAATGGCATTTAAAAGAAAAACAATGAGAGGTTTTAGATGTAGAAAGACATGCTCAAATCTAGTCCTTTCTCAGTTTATTTTTGTTTCCCGAAGAGGAAATCGACTTCTTTGAGTTTTAAATTTTCTCGCCAGCAATGGACAAGTAAAATCATTTAGAGGATCAGCTGAACAAAGGGCTACTCCCGGTCCATCTCCCATTGTCCAATTATCCAATGTTTCTCTAATGTGAGTATAGCCATCACAGCAATGCACTCAGTAGACATGAAAAGTGGAGTTTAACTGTAGCAAGTATCTTGTCTTCATCTTTTAAAATGTATGTTGGGAAAATATTTTCTCTCGTGGGAAACTCAAATGTTTAAAGTTCATAGGCATTATGAAGACAGACTCGATTAGACATTAGACAGTTTCCTTTTAGTATGTAGAATGTCCTCCATTGAAGCCGACGAGTGACAAACACACTTCTGGTCACTTGCTGAGACATGCACTCTCTAGCAGTAGTATGACAGACCATAATACCTCATGTCTGTGCATGGTGCTAGCATGTTCAAAGCACTGCCATACATGCTGTCTTCTTTAATCTTCCCAGACTAATCCAGGAAAAGCAACATAATTGGGAATTATAGCCTTGCAGGTAAAAGCTGGTCAAAGAGCAGACCCTGAAAGATTAAGCCAAAGTCAACACTATTGAGGGTGAGTCAAAGCAAAACATCCGGACTCCAGCCACCCGCCCAGTGTGGCCTGATGTCCACTCTTGAGTGTCCCACAGATCAGGTTGCTTGGAATCAATATACCATAAGTCCTTGGAGCATAGACAGAGAGCAGCGTATGCCCGCCTCTGGTTTGAGCCTTCTACTGATAGGATGTGTGGGCCTGCTCTGACCAGCTGTGTCAGTTCCTGCTGCCCAGGAGAAGTGGCTCTGAGATCCTGGTTTAAAATGAAACTCCCGAGAGAGAGCCCACGTCGGGCATGGATCAGGGAGTCTGAGATCAGGTTTTCCACAGGCAGCTGAGACGAGAGAGAGCAAAGCAGTGCCTCTGGGGGTCTCCACTCTTGGAACCACACCAGCTCTCGCCTTGGTTATGGACAAGCTTGTAGTCTCTACACGGTGCTGCCGCTGACAGGTCTAAGACACTCTCCAGTTGGTGACTGTCAGTTCTTAGTGCTAACACGAAGCTGAAGAAGCCCAAGGGCAGGACCCATAGAAAGCCTTCGTGAAAACAATCTCTTCTTCTGACGTGCTGGTCTTGTCAGTTTCTCTCTCTGCCTTCCTCCATATTCCTGCTCTTCTCTCCTTGACTTTCCTAGTGCCCTAACTACTACTCTGTTAGCTCTGAGGTAACCAGAGCTGGATGGAGAGTGCAATTCCCAGGACTCTGTGACTAGATGTTTAAGTCACTGTGCCGAGAGACACGGGAAAATCTAAGGGAAGGAAAAGAGTGGGGGCAGAAAGTGGGAGCAGAGGGTGGAGGGGGATCAGCCAAAGTGAAACGCAAATGGAATGCTTGCTTTCTAAAGCTAAAAATAAAACCAAAGGTCCTGCTTCTGTTTGGAAAGACCCCTCAGATGTTTACAGAAACACTGGAGGGCAGCAAAAGTAGAGATCAAGACGTTAGGAGGACAGTGCTATGAAACACATTGAAAACCAGGTTAATGGTGGCTCAGATGCAGGAGATGGGAACTGAATGGCACTGAAGGTGACAGGACCTGAGGATGGCCTGCATGCCAGAGTGCGGGCTACTCCCCTGGCTTTCCTTCGGCTGCTGGTTGATGGTTCTGTTGACTGAAATGTGGATGGAGTGGAGTGCAGACTTCGGTTTTAAATGTGTTCATGCAGGAAATTTTAAGGTGAATTTAGACAAAGACAGGTCTATGAGCCTGGGGAGATGTTTGGAATAGGGACACACATTTGGCTCTTAGTTGGTAAAAATTTATGGCTTTTGGAACAGATTGGGCTAACAAAGAGAGGGTTAATAGAAATGGATATTCATTCTGGAAACTTCAACACAGAGTCAAGAAGCATGAACCAGGCAAAAAAGACAGAGATGAAGGGTCGGAGGGAGAGGAGTGTTCAACAGGAAACATTGCTGGTATGTGCTGAGTGTGAGAGTAGAAATACCACAAATGTTTTTACATACATGACATTTATTTACCACAGGACTAGAGGCAGGGAAATCCAAGGCGATGGCACCAGCAGATCAAAAGTATAGTGAGGGTGCACTTGCTGGTTCATATTGCATTTTTAATTGCATCTGTCTGCCTCACACATATCTCTTTGTGTGTACATGCATAGAGGTTAGAGGATAACTTGTGTGAATTGGCTCTTTCCACCACGTGGGCCCTGGGAATCCACGTCAGGTCCAGCATGGTAGCAAGTGAGTACCGTAACTCACTGAGCCATGTATCTGGCTATTTGCTTGTTGGAAGATGGTTGCTTCTGGTGAATCTCTTGTCCTCTGAGCTAGGGCTCCAGCCCCTTCTTTGACAGTTGGCCTTAGTTGTCAATTCTGCTAAGAGATACCAATGACTAGCAAGACACATCTGTGTGTCTCTAGGATGTTTCCAGAAAGGACTGTTACACGAAACAGTGACTGGGGACGGGTGGGGGCACCATCAGTGTTGGGTGGCATCTCCCAGCAGATAGAAAAGAGGTCTGAAGCAAACACTGAGCAGTGTGTGCCCTGCAGCTCTTGCCTTTCCAGGGGTGTCTATTGCCAGTGCTGTAATTCTCCATTCAAACCAGACTGGCTTCTTCCACCTTTTTTAATGTGGAGTTAAAGCCCACAGTTCTTGAGATATCTTCTAGGCTTACAGTGCCAGAGAGAACCTGCTCAGCTTCCTGGACTTGGCAGCTACATGGTTGGTTGTCTGCCTCTCCAGATCAGTGTTGGAGTGTCCACCCCCACTGTAGAAGCTCGTAGCTCCCCCTCTCATTCTGTTCCTCTAGAGAACCTTGCCTAAAACGAACCCCCAAATCATGTCACCCCAAGGGGACGGGGGTTCAACCTAGTGAGTTTGAGTGGTCAAGCATTCAGACTAACAAGGAAGGCAGACAGTAGCCACTGGCTTGGAAATACAGAGAGAAAACACTGTGGAGAAAATTTCCATGGAATGACTTCAGAGACAGCGGAAGGAGGCCAGAAAAGGAAGAGTGGCTTTAAGGAAGTTGAGGACGGCGGGAGACAAAATGGAGCAGTTCTTGCTTCTTTGATCATCAGCTTATTTGCAGTGGAGTTGTTTGTAGCCGCTGTGCCACACAACACTCATTGATCCTGTCACAGAGCAGAAGGCTGGAAATCCAAAATCAGTTACACTGTGCTGTAAGCAAGGACCACAGAGGATTCTGTCTCTCCAGAGACTTTGGGAGAAAATCCATTCCTTGTCCCGTCCATCTTCTGGTGGCTGATGGCTTTTCTTGGCTAGTGGCCAAGTCTCTGCCTCTGTGGATACGTGGACTCTGTCTGTACCAACCCTCTTTGTGACTACTTTACTGTGAGGGAATCTCACCATCTGTGAGTACCATAATCACACAGGTAAAGACCCTGTGTCCATATATACATATACATACATATACATATTCATTTATATTCATATATATATATATATATATATATATATATATATATATA